GGAAAAGGAGGGGACATGGCTTGGTCCCAGCCTCACAGGGAAAGGGGGCAAGGAGGTGGCATGGCCCAGACCCACAGGGGGGAGGAGAGGGGGCCATGGCCCAAACTCACGTGGGGAGTGGGGAGAAGGTGGTGTAAAGGGGGACATGGCTCAGCCCCATGAGAAGAGAAGGGACAGAGCTCAGCCCCATGGAGGGAGGGAGAACATGCACTGGCTTGATGGATGGTTATGACCTAGCACCAGGGGCAGGGTTGCCCAGCCCCAAGGCAAGGGAGAAAGGATGGAGGCATGGTCCAGCACCAAAGTAGGAGTATGGCCTGGGGATTGAGGAGAAGGGGTTATGGCCCTACCCCAACATGGGGAAAGAACAGGGCATGCCCCATGGCCATGGAAGGGGATGGGGATAAAGAAGAGGGTATGGCCCAGTCCCAAGCAGGGGCATGGTCCAGCCCCTGGCTCCATGGCAGTGTGGGGAGAGGTAGGAGGGAGTGTAGACCAGGCCCTAGCTCCATGATGGGGGGGAGGAGGGGCCATGGCCCAGCTCCTGGTTCCACAGGGTAGTAGAGAAGGGGATCTGGCTTGGTCCCAGCCCCACAGAAGGGAGGAGGAGGGAAAGGCAGGGGGTAGAATGACAAAGCCCAACCCTGGCCCCACAAAACAGTGAGGAGGGGGGTATATCCCAGCCCCAGGGTGGGGGTGGAAGGTGGGGAACATGGACTGGCCCTGGATCCACTGGAGGGGTGGGGGGGGACAAAGGAGTGTGGTCTGGCCTCACTGGAGACAAAGAGGGGGAAAGGAGAAGGGCATGGCCTTGCCACAGCCCCACGGGGGAGGGGGGGGTGGAATTTAGAAGCAAGGGAGGGCAGTGGTATTGCCACTGCTCCCCTATCCCCAAGTAGTAGGGAGTCCAGCGGGTTAGATGCCAGGGCTTTGCAGGTCACATCCAACACATGGAGCCCTGCCATCTAGCCCTCAGTGATCCCCCTGGCTGCAACTGTCCCAAACAGGACATGACATGTGCCTGTGATACAGGTCCAGTCAGTAGGTTAGATCCTGCCTATAGATCCTTTTTCCTTTTCCCCCAGAATACCTGATCCAATGTCTGCTCCTGCCATTGCAGCATGGATCCCAGGGGGCTGGAACAGGTGCCATAAAGAGCAGTTTGGCCAATCACAGCTGTGCTGTGTGTGTTGACCAGCTGTGCTGTGCTGTGTGCTGTGCTGTGCGTGCTGGCCAGCCTAGCAAGACTGCACCATGGGTAGCACCCGCTCTGGGAAATGCACCGTACACAGAACCCACTCCAGCTAGTTTCCAACAAGGGTCCCAAACTGGCTGGAGAAGTCACTGCATGCAGTGTGGTCCAGGACCTGCAGGGTCAGGCACCACGTGTAACACAGTATGGTGAGAGCAACCACCGTGTAGAGTGTGGTGGCTGCTCTGGCTGGACTGTGCAGCATATGGCACCAATTCCAGCCATCCAAAATCTGCACCACAAACAGTTTGGGTCCAAGATGACATGGAGCAGCAGCCAGATCAGGTTTTCTAGGAGAGGGAGGGAGAGGGGGAGGAGAGGTCCGTGGGCCCAAGCTGGTTTATGGACCAGCCCCCAGCCACTTATCTGGCCTGTGGGGCTGGATCAGTTTGATACCCCCCAAATTAATGTTTCATCCCTTTGGGTGGAAGGAATCTTTTCTTCCAGTGTTTCTTTCCTGCACAAACTACTTCAAATTTGTTCTCCATCTCCCATGCACCCCTGGAACTCCTTTCCAGCCTTTTACCTTGGGACATATTTAGAGCACTTGGCTCCTCCTCCCCAAACCCAACTGGTAGACAGTATTGTGGCAGTGATCTTCAAAAGTGCTTCCATTTTCCTCTTAGTTAGGCAGCAACAGCAGCAGCATTTAACAGAAGCAACTACTTTAGGCACTACCCACTGTTTTTTTCTTGTTCTTGTTTTTTGTTTGGTTTTTTTGGTTTTTTACACAAATCTGGGTTTTCCCAGCTCTCTCTCTCTGATGGCAGCAGGAAGAGATGAGAAACTTGGAGAATTAAAACAAAAGATGTAACCTAGCAGCTCTTCTGGGATCACCAATAGCCACGGACCAGAGCTTCTGAACTGCTGCTTTATGCTAAATTCAGATAACAAAGAATGCCACAAGAGCAAAGAGGTTAAAGTAAGAAAAGCAACTGTGTATTATTTGCACAGGTCAGATTTCTAAATAGGGGAGAAAAATTAATAGTCACGTAATTCCATCTGAGTTGGTTAAAATGCCATTTCTAGATAAATATAATATCAGAAGAGCAATTCTACCACAAAGTATTTAGATTATTTTGGTTATTTTAGCTCAGATTAGAAAAAAATTAAAATTGAGCCAAAGACAATTTGCTGTCTGCAGAATTGCTGAAGTCAAACTCTATTAAAATTTTCCTAAATATAAGCAAGTACTATTATGTTGCCTTTTACTGGGGGACAAAACAGATTAAACCTAAGAGGCACCTGTATTTGTTCAGTTTATGCCCAGCATTAGTCTAAAACTTATATAATGGAATGAAAGCTTTCAAAAATAGCAACATTATTTTCATGACAGGAAGTACAGTAACTTCAATTGTACTGGAATAGCCTCAGTTTAGCTGCTGTCATGTAATATTCACCATGCACAACTGCACTGATGTTGGAGAACAACAGACTTTGGCATATGAGTATTACATTTCTACCGGAAGAAACCAATAGTGTACAAAACATTCCCACAGTTTCTCTCAGACCAAAAATGGTAGTTCAAGGAAAAACAATTAATCCAACAGCAACTCAGTAAAAGTGGCTTCCAGGGGAGTTTCTCCCAGGAAAACAAATGTATGTACACTTAACCTTCCATGAGAAGCTGTAGCACCATCCTACAGCATCCCAGCATGCACTGCTCTTGCCCGGCCCCCTACCTGACAGTTCCAGGGAAACTGTCTGTGACTTGGGATTAACTCCAGGGCTCTAGCCGAGCACAGAACACCACTGCCCCCACCACCCCCTCAGAAACAGGAAGCCCAGCCCTTTTCACAAATCCCATAACGTGTTCCAGGCCTACAGGGAGACAGGGTGCCAAAACAGCTGTATTCTCTGTTTAAGACCTGTGGGGTGAAAACCCAAACCTAGAAATTGACATGCCTGCAACTAACAAAAGGAAACATGCCCCGGGTCCCCCTCAGCCTCACAGCCAAGAGGGAGAAGAGATTGAGAGTGCTGGTGGGTTGGGTCCTCAGGGGTAGCCAATCAGTGCTGCCCTGCACAGTTGGCTGGACAAGCTCTAGAAGCAAGGACAGCTGGGATGCATGCATAGGGGCCCTGGGTGTATGCTGTTGGCAGTACAAGCTACCCAAGCACAAATCACTGCTCAGCCCCTCTAACGTTTGTAAAGTGCTCTCTTCATTTAAATACCTGTACATGGCCATAGTAACATCTACCATGAAACAGTTAAAAACAAAAACTTTAGTCTTATGGCTAAATCAAAAGGGAAAAAAACCAAATAGAGCAAACAAAAAAAACTTCACAGAATAATATATGAGCATATGTTAAGAGAAGCTGATCCACAGTCCAAAGGTTATTTTTTAATAATGCTTATAATAGTAAAACCTTTGTTTGCTTATCATTTAGAATATCAATACTTTTAATTAAAATAACATTTTTAATTCCCACTGCCTATGTGGCAATCTATTTCAGGTGTTTCATTCACATCCCTGTTAATACTGGTATATAATAAGAAAACGTTATTTCCTAAATGGAAACTGAACTGCTGCACCATCATCTCAATCTGCAACTTGTGCGGGCCCTCTCCCAATCCCACCTGGGTTGCCATGTGCAAGTTCTCTCCCGATCCCATCCTCGTCGCCATGTGCGAGCCGGGCCCGTCTTTGTGCACGCGGGCTGTGGCCAGCAGCCTGGGCACGCGGGGTCGGAGAGGACCGGTGGCAAGCTAGAATTAGTCTCGGACGCGTAACGGTTGATTTAAAGATTGTTTACTTACACCAAAGATGGTCGTGGTGTAGGCTGGACAGTTTCCAGGTTCAGCTCCGCTTAAATCCTCATTAGAGGACTACGACAATTCGTTCTTTGCCCCGGAGTTATTGAAGCTCCGCGGGTTCGGTAGTTTCTTTGCCCCGGAGTTATTGAAACTCCGTGGGTTCGGTAGTTTCTCGTACAGGAAGGGATACGTCTAGGAATTTATCGGCAACGGGGAGAGGCTAGAGGCTGTTCATTCTTTTCCCCGGAGTTGTTGAAGCTCCGCGGGTTCAGTTATCAGGCCTCTATTGCCTTTTAAGAAAAACGTTGGGTCCGTAAGGATCCGCAGTGCTTAGAGATCTTTGCGCTCTCCCTCTCGAACTCCAATTGCTCTCTCTCCAACTTGGGCGGAAACCACCCAAGCTCTTTATACGGCTAGCAAGCCAATTGCTAGCCGCCACGTGTGCATGTATTAGAATAGCTACCAATTTGGCGGGAATACTCCATTGCACCGGGGTTCTCCTCTGCAGCAGAAAACTCCACCGTGCAAAGCAGCTGCATTTTAGTGGGAAAATAATTTAGCAGTGCCGAAGCACACACAAACAAAACAAAAAAAATCACAACTTTGGGTTGCGACATCCCCCCTTGCTGAGAGC